CACCATGAAAATGGCGAGTAAAGCCACTTGCAACTTGAAAGAATGCTCCACTAAAAACCACTGTGTCTCTGCGAGTTCCTTACAACTCCTGGATGAACGCCGATCCATTCCGGCAAGTAGCGAGTACAACAAAATGCGAAAAACGCTTACGTGCAAGATTAAACAGTGTTTACGAAAGGGACGCGACGCTTATTGGTCAGAACGTGCGTGTGAGATGGAGTCAGCAGTCGCATCTGGTAAAAGACAGAGGCTGTTCCAACTCATCAGAGTCACCGACAGCAAGAAACAGGATTTCAAAGAGACAGTCTGCGAGGCAGATAACACATTAATTACCAGTCTGGAAACACCCTAAAACACTGGGCGAAGTGATTTGAGAAGCAATTCAGCTGGCCACCACTGCCAGTATCCACAGTCATCAGCTACAGCGACCCTTTTCGGTTCATACCGACCCACCAATCGAAGCTGGGGTCCGAAGGGAACTCCAAGTGTTGAGGCGCCATAAGGCACCCAGCCCAAACGTATCCACCACTCTTTTCAAAAACTGTGGCGAGATTCTCATCAAGTCTTTAACTGGATTATTCAGGAAGGTATGTAAGACTGAAAAAGTACCATCAATGTGGAATGAAGCCATAATCGTCATCTTTAAAAAAGGTTGATGTAACGCATGAGACAACTATTGGCGTGTCAGTCTGCTACCAGTTGCGTCTAATATAATAGCTGCTGTCTTCCATTGCAGGCTGTGCAAAACACGTGGGGAGTTGACTTGCATAGAGCAGGCTGGGTTTCACTCAAGCCGTAGATGTATTGACCAATTGTTTACCCTTCGTCAGTTGTTGAAACACTGTCACTCGAATTGCAGGCCAACAATCATTGTCTTTCTAGATATTATGACTGCCTTCGATTCGTTCGACAGAACTGTTCTCGGGAACAGTCTGTTAGAAGAGTGTGTCTGGGAAGTTTGTCAACATCCTGAGAGCCCTACAAAGAAATACCTCAGGTAGAGTGAGAGCATTCAATTAGCTCTCATCACTGTTCCCAACCAACAGTGGAGTTAGACAGAGTTTCCCAATCTCTCAATGTCTCTTTAACTTTGCAATCGATGACATACTGAAGTCAGCTCTGATGGACGTCTGTGAAGGTAGTGTAGATCTTCTCCCTGGAGAAAGATTTTTCGATTTCGAGTATGCTTACGATATCGTCTTACTGTGCGAAAGCATGCAGACTGCCCAAATCGCATTTAATCAGTTGGCGATCAGTGTCTATATGTATGACATGTGCTCTGCACAGTCTAAGTGCAAGGTACTGTTAAGAGATTGGCAGAAGCCCATACCTACATTCACGCTTGCAAGTGAACCGCTTGAAGTTTTCGATAAGTCTGTGTAGCTCGGTAGTTATATGAGTGCTGGTGGAAGTGTGACGGATGGAATTTTCAACCGTATCATGAAAGCTAAGGTGGCGTACGTCAACTTTAGCCACTTCTGCCTGTCAAAGTCAGAGTTAATAATGCTTCCGTAGGCGCTCTCTCGCTATACGCCTGTGAAATCTGGCCCCTCCGAGATGAGGAAGTGCAGCTAGTCTGTGTATCCGACCAACGCGGTCTCCGTAGAACTGCTTTCGCCCAATGGTATCATAGTGTGAGTAATTCTGAGGTCAGACAGCGTGTTTGGACAAAGTAGAGAATACCATTCATTGAGTATCGTCATCTGGAAACACCAGCTCGGATTGCTTAGGCATGTTCTAAGAGTGTCATCCAACAGGCTTCTATACTGGACTGTATTCGCTGACCCTTGGCCAGAATGGAAAACATGGAGTGGTGGTCAGCCAAAAATGTGGCGTCGCCGGATGAAGGATATTTATTTATGCTACGTCAGCATAAGTTGGTGAGTCACGACTCCCTGGTTGAGGTCCCAGAGATAGCTTGAAACGGTACTGGATATGGCCGAGAATCGCAATCAATGGCGAATGTATTATAATTTTATTTTCTCTACCCTTTCTGACAATACATACAGGAGTTGACATCCTTTATGCATCCTCTACCTTCCTATTTCTCATAATTTGTTTTACTAATATGTCGTGTATCTTCCTGGAACCATATTTTCCCAGGTTCTGCATCTTAAATAAATAATAAATAAAGGTCGTGAATGTAACCTGAATACTAGCCTAGCCTATTAGCTAATATCATACTATGAGATATTCAATTCGCGTCGGTGGCGCAGTGGTTAGGACTCTCGCCGACCATGCACATGGTCCAGGTTCGAGCCCGCACCGACGCACACCTGATATCTATGGTCGGCCTGCAAAATTTGGGCTACCGATATCCATGCTGAAAATTCCATACTTGTACCGAAAATACAGTGTGGAATCTAGCTGTAAATCAAAAAAAAACTTCTACTAGTTGTTCAAGATCACTATTTTATCTTTGATTGCCCAACATCCAACACCTCCCATGAATGGATTGTAGACTATGGTTCCCCATCTGTAAATGAAGTTACAAAGGCTATCTCCAGTTTGTAACGAGGTAAAACAGCAGGACCTGACAGAACGATTCAAAATGTGTTTAAGGTCACTGTTGATAAATTGCTGTCTCGATTAACTAAGGTATTAGGCAATGTCTGAGAATCAGAAAGAGTCCCGTTAGACTGGTGTAGGGGCATTGATTATCCCGGTATGCAAGAAGCGAAACAAGTCTTCCTGTGATAACCATAAAAGGATTAGGTTGACTAATATGATATCTAAAGGTCTAGACTCAATAATCGTACGTGGATTAAGTAACGTTCGGGAGAAGCAAGTGGGCTGTAGACCACGAAGAGGGTGTATTGATCATATCTTCGCCCTTCGACAGATTCTGGAACATAGGTATACTTACCGGCATCCAGAAGTTGCTATAAGTCTCAACCTGAGGGCGGAATTCGACTCCATAAAACGAGAGGTACTATGACAATGTACATCGCACTATTCAAGTCACTCTACACGAACTCACAAAGTCAAGTAAGTTGTTTTGCGGAGACTTGTTATCCGAAGTGATGACAACCAGTGATGTCAGTGAGGGATACCCACTGTTTCGTTTTTGTTTAATTTCATCAAAGATGTATCAGTGGAATTGATCCCAAGCGACTTCAGCACCTTATGCATTGACTTATTGACTTAGAATATGAGGACGATATAGTTCTCCTAGGTGAAGACGCTGATAAAATGTTGCTTCTTCTATAAACCTTGAGTAGAAATTCTAAAAGATTCACTTTTTTGAAAATGTTAGATGCTGCTGCTACAGGACTGAACATCATTGACTGCTGGCTTACAAATAGAGAGGGTAAGTGGCAGAACATGTTAACTGCTTCACCTATTTAGGGAGTTACGTCAGTCTCAGCGAGCTGATCGCTGACGAAATACTACCACTGATACAAAAAGCTTGTGTGGTATTTGCATTCATGATGGAGATTTGATATCCAGATATTGAACAAAGGACAAATGTACTGCAAACCAGTTATTTCTGTCCATTCTCCTTTAAGTTTGTGAGATATAGCCATTAAGGATGGAAGACATGACTAGCCTAGCTGTCTGTGATCACGTCTTCGAGTTTTATTTTCCGCCACATGAACTTTATTAGTGTGAGTAATATTGAGGTTGAGCGTCGAGTGTTAGGATATGTGTTGCACATGCGTAAGCATCGTCTTCCTCGACAGTAAATGTTAGCTGTCATAAGATCAGTTGCGAAAATAGCTAGTGGTGGTCAAACCAAAACATGACTTCATCAGTCAATGAAATTCACAACAGTTAGTTTAAACCAGCCAGCCAGCCAGCCACGTAGCAACGTGTAGGCCGTCTGGCTATTAGGAGTCCTCGAGATGATAAAAACCAATAAAGGCTGGAGACAATTTGTGATATGACTGAAAATCGACCTCAGTGGCTGGCACAGATATATTCACTCTTTGTGATTTATAATAATCAAAATAATTCTATTGTTCTTACATGTTCCTTTTGTTTTACCCACACTTCTGTTTATTACTTCTCTTCAATCTTTTCTTTTGCCTTGTGTAGTACATAATTGGGGCAGGGGGTGGCAACTCGAAGTGCTGATTCACATCTGTGCAAAGTTTTATGCTGAAACCAGCCAGTCACTACGATCACTATAATCTAAACGCTCCATTTTGTTACAAGAATGGGAATCATACAATCTTCTGTAAATTTTCACTGATAATTATGTAGCCTTTGTTAACCGAACATTTATGATCACAGATTGATACTAGTTAAACTTCCCCCCTCAAATGAGGTCACCGAGATGCGTATTGATGAGGAGTCACAAACTAGGACGAAATAGTTCTCCAATAGATCTCTAACTGGGATATAATTAATCTATGATCACATTTAAAAGTAATAATTTCAGTAAATTTGATCATAATTTACGCTATGAAAAATTCATGTCAACAAAACGAAGATTCTTTTTTCCGATTATATTTAGTCAGTGCGATAGCAGTTCCTGCTACTCCGAAAAAGTTAACACACACATATCTATACTGGTTACAGGATTTTCATCATGAGCTGACATTAGTTAGAGAACCATTGGAAAACCTGAGAGTACTGCCAGACAGCTGTTTCGTCACACTAATTTGGGATTCTTCATCAGTACGCACCCACCACAGGAGGTTCGAACCAAGGACCCTCTGGTTATAAGACCACCAAGCTCGTATACCATTGAGCCACTGGGACCTGATCCAATGGCCAGTCGATGAATTCTAACTTCTGCCAATTCACGATATAGCTCAACCGCTAGCCAATGTCTTCAGTGAGTATTTGTCCTCACACGCGACCTGCTGCACCCTACTACTGGTCACGACTTCCCACTAGAACCCCATGTAATTACCAACCTGAATGGGGCCAGTCACCAGTGAGCATCTCATTGATATTCAAGTAGGGATTTGGTTGATTGGCTACAGGGTATATATATATATATATACAAAAAAAATAAGATCAAGAAAACTTCTACGTGTTTGCTGACTTACTCAAAATTACTCGGATCAATACAGTGTTTTAATTCTTTCAATATATCACCAATATATACTGGAACATAATTCATATAGTCTTCGTCGGATAAATACTAATAATGAGATTAAGCGATGAATTAGTGTAATAAGATGAAATAACTTACGTAGAGAAGTACAAGTAGTGTAACAAGTTTCTCTGCAATATACAATGACTTTTCATTATTGAAAAGTCTTGGCCTCTAAAATCAAAAGAATAATAAATAGAAATTAATTGATGATTATTTTAAAATAAAAAATTATGAACACAAAAACAGACCTCCACTACCACCACCGCCACCAAAGAAGTAGTATGATGTCTTGCAAGTGAAATTGATAGAAGTATTTATTATCTAATTTTTATTTCTACAGCCGACAAACGATCAACGGATGTGTGAAGGATAAACTGCCACTTACGACTGGCCACTTCAACGTGTGTTTATAAATTCACATGCTCGTGTGGAGATAGTTATATTGGCCGCCCGCACAAAGCTTACACTTTCCAAACGCATCTCTGAACATTATCTGGCATGGTTAGGAAAGGGACAATGCAAGACAATTACTAGCTCAATTCTCGAGCATTTGGTGAACTCAGGCCACGTTGCTCCACCAGAGTCGTCTTTCAAGATCATCTACAAAGTGAAGCCCAATGGTACAAAGGGCGATAGCTTTCGGCTTTTGTGTATGGCGGAGGCGCTGGGAATTCATTAATACAAGCCTGAACTCTGTATACAGAAAGTTTGTCCAGTCTCTTATTCTACTTGGGTCGTAACCTCTTCACTAATCGTTCCCCGTAAAAAAAAATTTTGATTTTTTCTTTTCTTTTTACTTTTAGTTTGATTTTGCTTTAATAATTAATTCACTATTTCCACTCTCATATGCTCCTTCTGTACATTTCACACCCTCTTCACACTTGTTAAATTGACACTCAAATTTTAACCTTATCAAATTTCAATCTTTGTGCCGTTGAGTACCGCGTAATTTACAACTTTTAATTTTCACTTCTAAAACCGCTTCTGAGTAATTATATCAATTATGCCACACACACACACACCCTATTACTCAATAATAGACCACTATACATTTTTGTAGGTATAAATACGACTCTACAGCCTTTAAAGACGATTTTGTTGATAAATAAAATTCTCTTCGCTGAATCTGTCTTTTATTTTCTTTGGGTAACTTATCTTTAAAATCATATAGTCGTCCCTATATATATATATATATACTGACAGTATTGATGATTCGATCTTCCAATCAACTGCACAGAAGGTGTAAAGAAATTTATCAGTTTATGATACACTTTATTTGCACAATCCAATTTCAAAAAATCTATGAAAAATGATTTTGGAAATCAGATCGATAATCTGGATTCCAGTTTTTGGTGCATCACAATTTAGTGAAGGTACTATTGTGGTAAGAGCTGGCGGGTAGCCAAAATCTCTAGACAGTAATTTACGTCGATGTTTACGTCCCCAATATTGGTCATGAGAAAAATAAGAACAAAGACTGACTCAACAACCAATCACAGCACACTTTCCGTAGGTGGATACAATTCGCAGATAGATAATCTGAACTTCAAGAAACTGCAACAAAGAGATGAAAGATTAAAGTTCAGAGAAACACCGCTAATCAGAAGACTGTGTTTGTTTCCTTACAATAATCTATAATAATGTACATGAAAATCTATAAATATGTGTTGATTTCTTAAATAAACGATCTGTTTTCTGACCCTTGTCTTCTGCTGTCACACTATTTGTGCAAAAACCCAGGAGAAGATATGATCAGTTGAACTGCAGAGATTTTCACCCCGGTTTCTCTTATCTCAGAGGAGAATTAAGAACTCCACCCCATTCAGTTTCTATTACGTGCCCCCCATGTTGCTAAGAAATGCTTTTGGGCGTGTTCAATTTATTTCAAAGGATTTTAAAGATTTATCTTACTTACTAATCGTCGTGATTTGGATCTATTGGTATATTGACTGGATTATTATTAAAATATCTATTGGGGAAATACTTTTTGGTGAGACTGATTTTGATGAAACAATTCAAACGATTATCAGTATTCAGTGTCTGCTATATAAATGTTTAGTCCTATTCCAGGTGGAATGTGATGACTTCCTTACACTTCCTACACTATTTCCAGGTGGGAGGTATCATTGTAGATAGAGAGTAACCAAACCTACATATACCTTCTAGTGGTCCCCTAATTGAAAAATTATTAAAAATGTGAAGGTGTCAGGAGAGACTAACTATCACTGTTAGCCATAAAGTTAAGACTGATGCACTTATTTATATTTTATTTCTTTCCGTCCTAACAGGAACATAGGACCTCAAGCTAGAGCTTCGAAGTTTCAGTAGCAGTGGTGTTTTTTACAAAGTGGGGTTGCTAACCTCACACGCCCAACCTTTCCTATCTGTCGGGATTATAACCAGCTAAGGAAGGTCAGGTGATCCACAGAGGAAAATTCAGCGAGGCGTTCGAAGTGCATACAGGCGTAAGACAAGATTGTCGATGATATTCTTAATTGTGGTGGACTGGATTATTCAACAAACTGTGCTTAGGAGTGAGGAGATAGGAATACGCTAGACTATCGATAAGAAGATTCTAGAAGATCTGGATTTTGCAGATGATATATGTCTAATGTCATACAAACTCGAAGACCTGCAGGAGAAAACCAACAAACTGGCAGAAGTGGCTGGTAACGACGACAGTACTTCAAGTGAACATAGCGAAGACAGAGTTGATGAAGATAACCAACGAACAGCAACAAAAACAACCAGCACCAATCATCATCAACGGTAGAGATTTAACAGAGTTTACCTCCTTCACTTATCCGGCTAGGCAGCATCGTTTCAACTACAGGTTGAAAGGGTGGAGATGTCAAAGTCAGCCATGCACAATAGGAAATGCAGAATACGCGTTCTTCAAGCCGAAACTAGTTTGGAAATCTTCTAGAAACAGCAGGAGGAACAAGATTCCTATTTTCAACACCAATGTGAAGTCAGTCACTTCTTCTATACGGGTCAGAAACTTGTACTACGTATCAAGAAAAAGATTTCCAACAGGTTGCAGACTTTCATCAACATCTGTCTTCCCTGGCCTCATACTGAAGATCAAATGAGAATTAGCAAGAGAAATTCTGGCTGGCAGGGAACAAACCAACTAAGAGCCGATCGCCCAACATATATGCGAGCCAAAATGGGGATCGATTAGGCATACATTGAAGAAACCGTCGAATGACATTGCGAGCCAGGTCCTCGAGTGGAATCCAAATAGGAAGCGAAGAGTGGGTTGTAGGTGCGAGGGTGACATGGAGGAGATTAAGGCTATTCTTTGACCCATCTGACGAGGATGGAAGAAAATAAAAGTGGAGATGTGTTGTTGAAGCCCTATGTTCCACTCGGAACCCAAGGTAACAATAATAAGGAATGTATATATGTGCGCCGGTTGGGACTCGAACCCAGACCCACGTGCATGGTTGGCCACCATTTCACCCCTGAAACACACACGACTGATGCATGCGCTAACATAATTACCTGATCGAAAGTTGTAGGGAATATTTCTCAAATAATCAGCTGGTTATAGTGTCAGTCGGGTCTGGAGGTAGATTGTAGTCAAGGTGAATGACAACCACAAAAACAGTTTCCCTCCATTATAACACAAATCATTTCTAATACTTATACAGGTGAACACGACCCATGCTGAGGATGAAATGACGGCCAGGAAGAATTAGCGACAAGAAACTCTGGAAGCGAACCTATCAATACGCTATCGGTCAAGAAATATGGTGATGACAATGGGGATGGACAGAACATACGATGAGGCGACCGTTGGGTAACATCACGCATCGCTCGAGTGGAGCATGAATGGGAGACGACGAACTGGGCAGAAATCTGAGATAGACATGAAGGAGATCATGTGAGTTGAAGGCAAAAGCTTATAGGCAGTCGTGGAGCCAGCTAAACGGGACCGCAGAAAAATGGGGAAAAGTGGAAATATGCTGCTGAAGCTCTATGTTCCACTCAAAATTCAAGGGGAATAATAAGGATAAACGCCAACAACCTTCATATATTGTGAAAGTCTTTTTCATAATGGTCTCCTACATTTACGAGAAACGCAGTAGTAATCACTTAACTATCTAAAGCAAATTAACTATAGAAACAAAATAAGAGTGTCTTCCAAACCTGACGACGTTAATACTGTCACCTTTTTGGCCGAATATTGAGGTGTATACATTGTTACACAGACCTGCGTAGTTTTATAGGAATACTTCGGTCTTATTATAATAATTCCTGATATACATGAAATTCACTCCTACTAGTCCAGTATTTTAGCTCATCATTTTTTCAGTAAAGTTACCTCAAATCTATGCATTCGACAGATTATTTCTTGAGCTTCATCAGCACAACGACGCCTCCAGTCAGTAATCGAGGTTAAATCCATCATATTGTGTTCTTGTGCCATCTAAAATGTAGAGAAAAACACCCACTATTGCATTAAATATATAATGTAGAGAATGCCAAACTAGATAAAAACCAACGACAACCACAACCACACAAAAAAAAGAAGACATGACAACACTGTAGAACAAAACAAACCTCCTGATTGTATACAACATTTCCAGCATCATAAGAATCTGAGTAATTAATCCAATTGGATGCCTGTTGGTCGAACTGATTATAACCAACAGGATGAACATCTCTTCCGGTAGTAGTTGTTGTTGCTGTTGTATACAATTCAAACGGTTCATAAAATATATCACCATTACTTGTATACACCATACCGGCTGGATTATTCGAATAAACATAATTCGGATTGGAACAATTCTCAGGCATAGATGTATACATATCACCATAGTCATTTATAATAAAGGTATTGGTAGCTGACAACTAGAATGAAATATGCAATGAATAGTATTATTACTACTATCATCATCATTACAACCTGGAGATATTTACTTTGATTATTTGATTCCATCTCTATCAGGTTTAGTAATAACAATAATAATGACATTAAGTAATAGTTGGATCGCATTCAAGTGGCTCAATAGTCCATGAGGTCGCCTTGTAACAAGAAGGCCATGGATTCGAACTCTGGCGGTGGGTGTGCGGTGAGAGCTGGCTGCTAACCAAAATTGGTAGACAGTAATTTACGTCAATGTCCCAAATATTGGTCGTGAGAAAAATAAGAACAAAGACTGAGCCAACAACCAGTCACAGCACACTTTGCGTAGGCGGATACAATTTGCAGAGAGATAATTTGAACTTCAACAAACGACTACAAAGACATGAAAGATTAACATTCGTCGAGAAACCACTAATCAAAAGACTGTTTGTTTTCTTACAAAAATCTATAATAATTATTTAATTGATCAAAAATTCAATTCAATAATTAATATGACCCGTTGCACAAGAGGTGGCTCTCGTGGCCCAAGTGGTCTAGTGGATAACGCTCTGGCGTTTGAAACTATGGGCACTGGGTTCGAGCCTCGGTGGGAACATCATCACTTACTGAGAAATGCAGGTACATCCAGTGACGAGTCCCATATAACACGAAACGCGCATCCTGGATTCCACTGCTAGTCACCATCCACCAATTAAACCTATAATAATGTACATGAAAATCTATAGATATCTGTTGATTTCTTAAATAAAGGATGTATTGCCTGGCCCTTGTCTTCTGTTGTTACAGGTGCGTACTTGTGAAGAGTTCCAAACTAGGCTGACGAAACGACTTTCTTTCTAGTACTACTTGCTGGTTTTCCAATGGTACTCTATCACCGATATCAGCTCACGATGAAATCCTGGAATAATGACTTTATTCCAAGCGATTGTGTTTTTCATACAGAGTGGAATTTACAGTGTTATCTTTTTTATACATACTGCAAAAATTTATCTTCGTTTACAAATAAATAGATAAAATAGTAAAAACAACAAAACCACAGAAACTGAAAGTAGAGGAAAAGAGGAATAATACATGTTATAATAATTCTAGCTACAATTTATTGTTTATTCAGAGATTAAAAGGTTAATTAACTCTTTTCTGACATCTGACTTGATTTTCACACAAATCCTATGCTGCTAACTACGGTATGGCTAGTTGAATTTTTATATTTACTAGTCGTACAAGCGTGAATTTGTATGAAATTTCTTCTGGCTTCTCAGAACGGATACAGAGGGCTAGTTTAGCATGTGCCAGTTTACGGAGTAGACATGATATCCGGCTATCGACCAGAGGGCGGGTGTACTGCTCATCAGTCCGCTCCGTCCTCCTTTATGGCTGTGAGTGAGACCTGGCCATTGAGAGTGGAAGACATGAAATGCCTAATTAGCTGTGTTTGATCATAGGTGCCTGCGTTCTATCTCCCGTGTGAAGTGGTATAATAAGGTGAGCATTATTGAGGTTAAGCGTCGAGTTCTAGGTAAGGAGGGGAAATCAATCGACGAGGCTGTGAAGCTACGTCTACTAAGATGATTAGGAAATGTGTTACGTATGCCTAGTCATCGCCTTCCTCGACAACAGGCAATGTTAGCTGACATAGGGTCAGACTGGAAAAGAGCTGGCGGAGGTCAAACCAAAACATGGCACCAGTCAATGAAATCCACAACAGTTAGTTTAACCCAGCCAGTCACGTAGGAAGATGTAGACTTCCTGTCTATTTGGGGTCCTCGGGACGGTAAAAACCAATGGTTAAAAACAGTTGGTGATATGGCTAAAAATCGTCCTCAATGGCGCAGATGCATCCACTCCTTATGACTTATGGTTCCCAATGAAACTGTATTGCTCTTCGTTATTACTCTTCCTTTGTCTCACACCTCTGTTTACTGTCTCTATTATGCATTTCTTCCACTTTTTTCTTTTGCTTTGTGTGGTACATGGAGTGTGGCGACTTGAACTGGTGCACATCGGTGCAAAGTTCTATGTCGAAAACAGACAATGTAAAAAGTCAAGTGTAGAATTTTCCTAGAAATCGACAAGATATGAGACGTTTAGGAAAGATTTTCAGGGGACAAACTGATACCAAGATGAGACACATTCAAATTACTCCCTAATCACAGTGACATCGACATCACAAGAACCATGGGATTGAATTAGCCCCCCACGTAAGTCTTGTTCACAGCTGAAACAAAAATTAACAGTCTGACCATTTAGACACATTCATTTTAAGACCATTTGAGTACGGCCTTCTGATGAGCTTTAAGATAAACAAGTTGGACAGAAATAGTCACATCATCACCAGTATATTTAGTGAAATTGATTGGTGGTCATGCGTGATAATGAGCATCCAAATATTTTACATAGAAATTAAGGAAAACACCGCATACTACTACTTGTTGATTGAGGTGAGTAGTTGTGTACCACTGATATCAACCAGTAGTGCTTTCTAACCAGCCAGATCGAGGTGATCTAAACACTATTTGGCGGGGACCACTTCATCAGAGGGTAGCCGATTCGAATCAGCTCCGAGAGCTGAATAATCAGTTTTGGCTAGTAAAGTGTTAATTTCAGAAATTGGTAAACATTTGCATTTTATTATGAAAGTTTGGTTTGATGGAGATAAAAACACATAAGTGTATTTACACTTTGCCCATAAAATAAAAAGTATGTACAGACAGGAAATTCGTGATATTGAGAGATGAAATTCACCTGACCCGATAATATAATAATCCTAGTGTGGTGAGAGCAGGCTGCTAGCCGATTGGTTGGCACTAATCTACGTTAATGTCTAGGTCACTAATATTGGCCGTGAACAAGGCTGTTTCAACAACCAATCACAGCAAACCTAAATGTGGACAAATATGATTCGCAGATAGATGGCTCTACTTTCCGAGAAATATCGAACACAACCAATCATAAGACTGTGTTTGTCTGCTTAACTTCCGAGAAACAACCAATCAGAAGACTGCCTTTTTCTGCTTGCATAAGCCTTATTAATGCATATAAAATATATATAAATACGTGTTGATTTTCGTAATAAAACGATCTGTTGCCAGCCCTTGTCTTCTGTTGTTACATTTGGTGTCGCTGCCTCCAAGAAGATGAAGATCCCGTGGCCAGCTGCGTTTGAAGAAGGTGACATACGGAGCTTCTTACGTGACTTCGAAGCCGTTGCTGAGCTGGTGGGTGTCAAGGAGCAGGCGGCGAAGGCAGTTGTCCTGGGACGCTGTTGAGAGGCCGAGCGAAGGCTGCATATGACAGCGTAGACAGGTCAAATGGCACAGCGTCTTGGAAGAAATTGGTTGAACGACTAGTGTCCGAGTTTGACAGCGAAACAGACAGACAGCTAGCAATGCAGCAGTTCCGGTCAATGAAGCTTGGACCTGATGGAGACCCGCTAGTGTTGGCGGTGAAACTGACTAATCTACTTCGACGCGCGCTTCCCACTTTAGATGAAGAATCAGAAGCGCAGTTACTGTCTTCCCAATTCATCGAGAGTGAAGAGTTTACTTCCCGTTTGCAACAGCTGGGCATCAAGAGGATCAGAACGACCCCATACCATCCACAAACGAATGGCCTAACGGAGAGAAACAACCGTACACTGAAAGAGTGGCTGGCTTCGAAGGGCGGGAACTGGGAAACGGAGCTTCCACTGATTTTACTAACACATCGGGCTACCACTCAGGAAACAACGAAGAAGTCACCCTTCCAACTGATGTATGGCAGAAAACCACGATTACCGGTACACAATGAGACCTGGCCCATGCACCAAAAGTGGAGTACGACGAAATTAAAAGCAGAGAGGAAAGAGGCAGTCAAGAATGTAATACGGAAGCAGCGCAGTGATGTCACGAAGTCTCAGATGAAAGAAAGGACGCAGTGCATTACTTTTGCAGTCGGGGACCAAGTGAAGTGTAGAGACAGGAGATATACAGTTGGAGGCGGGCTAGGTTCACGGAAACTCCTTCCAAAGTGGGAAGGACCATACACAATCACAAAAAGACGGGGTCAAGTATATACCATCCGAAGAGGTGATAAACAGAAACGAGTTAACGCCAGTCAGCTACAAAGATGGGTACAGTGGGACAAGCCGGTCAGTAACAATCCTCAACTAGAGGATGTAGCACCCAGAAGGTCGGAACGTCTGCGCACAAAGCTATTTGACGGGGGGACGAGTGTGGTGAGAGCAGGCTGCTAGCCGATTGGTTGGCACTAATCTACGTTAATGTCTAGGTCACTAATATTGGCCGTGAACAAGGCTGTTTCAACAACCAATCACAGCAAACCTAAATGTGGACAAATATGATTCGCAGATAGATGGCTCTACTTTCCGAGAAATATCGAACACAACCAATCATAAGACTGTGTTTGTCTGCTTAACTTCCGAGAAACAACCAATCAGAAGACTGCCTTTTTCTGCTTGCATAAGCCTTATTAATGCATATAAAATATATATAAATACGTGTTGATTTTCGTAATAAAACGATCTGTTGCCAGCCCTTGTCTTCTGTTGTTACACTAGTTTA